CCTTTTCATTTTCCCGGCGGGAAAAAGGAACAATGATAGTGGCGGCGCCGGCGGCGAAGGACAGAGTGAAATTCAACGTGGGTGGAAGAATCTTCGAGACAACAAGCACCACTCTAGCCAACGCAGGGCGGGACTCCTTCTTCGGCCCTCTCTTCGACGAAAACTGGGACTTGAAAGATTCCAGTCAATCCGCCGGCGGCGGCGAATTCTTCATCGACCGGAATCCGGACTGCTTCGCCGTCGTCCTCGATCTCCTCCGAACCGGAGACTTAAACATCCCGCCCAACATCCCAGAGCGCCTCCTCTACCGTGAAGCCTCCTTCTACGGCGTCCTCGACCATGTCCGCTCCGCGAAATGGGGCCCGTTCGACGGAAACCGTCTCCGTTACTCAAAATCCATCTCCGGCACCGCCCCTGGAGACGGCACAGCCATCCGCGCCGCCCCAGACGGCGGCTGCGCCGTCGCTCACGGCAGCATCGTTCACGTCTACGACTGGATGTTGTCAGAGGAACACCCGCCTCTGACCCTCGACCACCAGCGGGTCAACGACGTCATCTGGGTCGACCCGGAAAATCTCGCCGTCTCCGCCTGCGAGCGGCTCGGCCGCGGCGACGGCGGATTGGGTCTGTTCAACAAAACCTCCGGCCGGCTCCGATTCAAATTCCAGGTCACCCACGATAATCAAGTCAAGAGCTTTACCGCTGGAGCTCTGGCCACAGCACAAAATCCCAACCACAGAATCTTCAGCAGCTGTAAGGGGAGGAGCAACGAGTACGGAATCGGAGTGTGGGATCAATTCACCGGAAAGCAAGTCGATTTCTTCTACGAATCCCCCGGATGGTCCCTGGGAGACGCCGATCGGCTCCAATGGCTGGAGGAAAGGAACTGTCTTTTGGTGGCTACTCTGTTCCCCAGAAAGGACAATTGCTACATTAGTTTGCTTGATTTCAGAACCAAGGACATGGTGTGGTCGTGGTCGGACGTCGGAGCTCCGATGACCGTCGACGAGAGGCGGGTCCGAGATGGGATAGCCATGGAAGGCAACAATGCCATATGCGTGGTGAACGAGTATGAAGATTTAGGGTTTATGGATCTGAGGATGAACGGCGGCGCGATCAGGTGGAGCTCGAGGAGTCGGCTGATCATGAAAGGCAGGATGCCCGACGATGAGCCCTGTTACCCGAAGCTCGCGCTTCACGATGGGGGCCAATTGTTTTCGTCGATGAACGACTGCATCTCGGTGTTCTGTGGTCCTGATATGGTCATGACCTCGAGGCTTCGTCGAGGATATGGAGGATCGATCTGCGATTTCTCGATCGGCGGGGATAGGTTGTTTGCTCTTCATAGTGAGGAGAATGTGTTTGATGTTTGGGAGTGTCCTCCGCCGCCGGTGATCTGATTTTTTGATGATCATGTTCCTCAAAGTTTGGAACTTTGTGTTATGTGTTGGATTGAAAATGCTAACTTGGCTAGTACTATAGAGATGTGACAACGGGTGGGAATAGAATATACTGAAATGTGTGGTGTTTTTCTTTGTGCTCATTTATAGGCTAATAGAGAAGGCAATAGGATTTTGTTTTCTTCTTCTTCTTTGTTTCTGGTGTGGACAATAGTAGTAGCTTCTTACTACACTACATATGTAAGTTTGGGCATTTTTATAGCCATGGTTTGTAGGAGTGAACATCAAGAGGTTTCTCAATCTGGGTTTTGTTCATATGGTTCACATTGTGGTGTTGCAAGTGCAAAGATGAAAGCTTTGATGGGTTGTTGTACATTTCAAATGTGTATATAATATGTTTCTAGGCATATGTTAACTCTCCTAGAGGTGGGTGGTTCAATAAATAAGATGGTGCCACGTTTATGATGAGCAGTTGAGTACTATGCAAAATAATCGAACTAGATTCAAAATAAGAATATAGAACCCAACATGACATAGTTTATCATACACTAAAACGGTAGAAATAATTCAATTTCGTATCCTAACTTCAAAGATAAGAAGGATCACGATTAGAATTAAGTTTGATTCAAGATAAGGGTATAAAATCAAACATAAATCTGATTTTTTCATCTGGAATGGGGAAACAACTCGATTTCGTATCCTAAATTGAAGAGCGAGAATAATTATGATCAGATTCAAAATTTTGATTGTAAGTGATGGTCTGAAATCAAACGTGATATGATTTTCGAAATATAAAAGTAAACGCGATTGAATTAAAATAATGATTTAAGAAACGTTTCAAAACTCAATCACAATACGAGTTTCGTATAACATGAAGAAAAAAACTCTGAGAGTTTGGATTCAATCTCAAAATGACATAAAACTTCGAACATCAAAAGGATAGTGGTGGGTGTAATGATGCTGGAAGGTGGTCTAGTGGTGCCTGCCCATTCTTTTCCCTCAATTTTTGAACTTAGCTAAAGAAAGAGTTCTCTTCCTTCTTTTCTCTTTCTCTTATGACATTCTTTTTCTTTCTTTTGACCTCATGCTTTGGTTACAAACCTTACCTAATTGGTGACCTTGGATCTCTCACAATCAGAGACAGACCTGGCAAGTTGAGTAATCACTGAAGCAAGGGAGTGACTGTGACTGAGAGCTGAGAGGAGAGGCCCCTTTTGTAGGACACTCACTGTCTTTGTCCATGTGAGTTAGCACCTGCCAAATGAAGAAACCAATAATAACAAACTATATATATAAGGCTCAATAGCACACTTGGTCATATGATGTCACTGGTATATGCTCTTGCTCCCTCTCTCTCTGTAATCATGATATCCCGGCAAACGATTAGTCACGAAATAAGCTCTATTTTTATGTGAGGAACTCGTACTTAACTACAGTTACCGAAAAATGAGTCTGATAGCTAATACATTTTATTGATGCTCATTAAAAAGGAAAGAAATTCATGTTTTCCTCGATAATCTCAGCACACCTAACCAAATCAAATGAGAGCACTTGACTCGAAGGAGTCGTATGCAAGGAAGTTGGCTAACATCACATTTGGAATTTCTATGATATGGAGTAAATAAAGAAGGATGATCCCTAATTGGCAAGGTGATATACCACAAAATTGATTTCTCATTAAAGCATGGGGGAAACATATCTCCCTATCGAGTATAAACATCTCACAAATAGTCCCTTCATGAATTACGACATAGTGCGTGCAAGGAAGTGAAGAAGATCTATATACGAACCTCTTTCAACAACTCGAGTTACTGAGACTAGTTGGTTCTTGATATGGTATCGAAGTTGGTTTGATCGTGAGATCACGTATTCAAGTCCCATGACCTCCGATATTGACCATTAACTTAAAAGAAATGGTATGACAAACCTGTACAAACGTCATCATTCATAATAAACATCTTCCAACAACTCAAGTTATTATAACTAACTGATGTTTAAAACCTGCACAATCCACCTACCTCACTAATGAGGTCTAAGATCAATCTCAAATCTCTGTCTCTATTTATGTCTGCTTGTCAGATTTTTGGTAAGGGAAGATGCCCTTTGAGCATGTGAGCAGTTGGGAACCTGATTCACTGGATATTATTAAATGTCTCCCATAACTTCAGAACACTTTCAAAGGCAAAAGGAGAAAAGAGGGAAAAGGGAAGTTGATAAGGTGAGATGAAGAAGATGGGGAGACAAATAGATTTGAAACAAGGTATTGAGAGGGCTTTTTTTTGGTGTACCAAATATTCTAACAAGTTTCAATTTTTTGAGTGTGTGGCCCATTGGACAATATCATAACAGGATAGTGGATTGGTGTCCCAGTTTCTATGGGATCTCTCTCTATATGGTTCTTGTCGTTTTTTCTTCTTCTTTGATTATGATTTCATGGTCTTCCAAATTGTCCTGCAATTTGAATAAACAATTGTGGGTTTGTCCTGAAATCTGACAATTGGGAGCAAATCCTTAGTGGGGAAGGAGGAGGAGAGAAAAAGTTTAGGGTTTGGACCCATTAGAGGAGGGGTCAATGGCATGTAGGACAACACAACTGGAAAAAGAGAACACAATTTGCACTTAATTTGTTTCTTTCAATTTCGTATTTCCACCATTCATTATGATTTTCAAAGTAAACGTTTTTAATAGGACTGCCAAAGTATATTCGAAGAAAGAATCTTCCATTGACGATCTTCTCAATTCTCATGAATAGTTCGATAAATTATCAGGTACAACGCTACAGGTAAATGCATAAAGATGCTACCATTAGCTAACTCTTCTGGTTGAGGATGTCCTTGTGTAAGGTTTTGGTATGAGTCCTCCTCCCTCGTTTTGGGTTAAAGACAGTTTTTGTTAGCTTTGATGGATATTTGAGAGGTTTAATCTCTTCAACTTAGATTTGAAAGGCTACAATCGACTTTTATACGAGCTCAAAGGTTGGATCTTTACGTCGTTCCATTGAGTTTCTTTTCAACCAAATTTAGCTGATAGACTCCAAGCGTGGTACTTTATTATTTAGTTGTTCATCAAACCTAAATATTGTGTATCGATTTCTCTATTAAAAGCTCTGTAATCCATTTCACAAAAAGCTCCAACCATCATTATATAAAAAAAGAACTCTTGATCTAATCGCCATTAGGGATTAATAAATTCATTGATGGAAGAAAAAGCTAGAACAAAGGAAAGCTGCAATACGGCACGGCACCAAGCCACTAATTAAAGCTTCAAGGCGGCCGATGCTAAACCGGCTTTTTTTTTGGTGATTTGTGTAAATCCTTATCCAATTGGGATGAAGTCAGCCAGTCGTCTTGATCTCTTTCTTCCACTACCACAACCAGAAAGAAAGGTGATAGATTCCAAACATGGGATAGCTCAAAGCGTGACACTTACGTTATCCACAAACTTGTTCATTGCTTTCAGTTCTCCATAATGACATCAACTAAAGGAGTTCGTTCGTTTGTTTGTTTGTTTATATTATGCGCATCCATTTTCGGATAACACTCTGTTTCTGTTAAAGCTTATCATTCCAATGAAACCAGTAAGACATATGATTCAAACTATATAATATTGTGATAAAACCATACCGATTTGGTCATCTATGTATGATTTGATCTGTATAACAGCATCACACTCGGATAATACTGCTAATGTATAAGAAAGAATCAAGCATTTTTGGTAATATTATGGTGCAAGAGTGCGAATCAGTTGGGAGAGCATTCAAAGAATTGGAATATAGAGAGCATCATTTACCATCAAAGATAACATGAGCTCTTGGAAGGAAGAATGGGCTCAGAATATAGGGGGTAAGAACGCTAATAAGAGATAGATTATGAATTGGCAGATTATCAAGCATAATCAGGCATGACCCTTTTGAGAAATGCTACAGGCTGAGAGTCTTCAGGGGCGAGCTGGTCGAATGGGACGTAGTTTTGCTCCTTATCGTACACGTGGCACACCGTCATTATGGTCCTCATTAGCCGCCAGTTCCATGTAGCTTCGTTTAAGTACTGTCAAACAACAGGGGAAATGAGAGAACAAAGGGTCAAAGAGGTTTTTTCCTTTTCATTGCTTCTTCTGATTTCCATATGAGTGGATGGGACATAAAGGGGTTACCTTTGCCCAGTTTTCTTGGATGGATCTGTGAGCTGCAGGGAGATTGTAGCTTGGAATTCGCGATGAAATGTGATGGGGGATGTGGACGTTGATGTTATGGCAAAGGATCTCGATCCTGCAGCATGGGAAGGTTGCTCGGATAAGCATCAGTATAAACTTGTCTATGGAGGTCAAACAAGGGAAGGGAATATGTATTTTACCAGCGAGGGTAATCGCAATGAACGGTTCCATTAAGCTGAGCCTGCGCTGCATTCCACTCTTCGGAAGGTTTGAATGGAATGTGGGGGGCTGTATGATGCACCATCGTGAAAGTGCTCATCTGCAACAAATGGATAATTCGGAAGATCATCAGAACCTCGGTGGGTGAAACCAACAAACACGAGTGAAATGGTCAATGGCATTACCCAGAAGTGATAACCCAACCATGGCATTAGCCAGTATTTGATCCATCCCACAACCCCGGCTTTGTAAATAATCAAGGGCCATCCAATCCCCATGAATGCAAACACACATGCTAAACTTATCTTCACCCGTTGGACCTCATTCGGTCTGAATTTCTTCAGAGAGAAATGGGCGAGCCACCTGTCGATCGAGATCGTTTGAGTTATATGCTTGGTATAGTATCATATATGCACAATTTGTTTTTGGTAGAATCATACATGCACAATTGCGTGCAAGAGGGGACAGCTACTCAATACCGTTATATAGGAGCATTACCAATGAGCTATAGACATCCATGGCCTAAACGGACCATATCCGTATATGATTGCCTTCCGAAGGAGAGGGGATGAATCAAACTCTTCTTTGTCAACAGGTAGCCAAGCTGTATCTTCAACCAACCTGAAGATATGAAAAACAACAGGGGAATGATTCTCTGTTCAAAATCAATGGAACTGTGTAACCAAGAGCTAATCTAGAACACACTGATCGAGCTCACATGTTTGTCTTTGCATGATGCCTGTCGTGCTTGAATCTCCATGGTTCATAAGGATATATTAATGGCAGAAAGGCCAGAGTTCCTACAATGTCTTCAACTAATTTGTTCTTCGAAAATGACTTGTGAGCACAATCATGACCTATGACAAAGAACTTAAGAAAGACAAGAAGAATGAGCTCAAGAATTCATAAATTGGCAAAATGAAGGAAGTTCAAGAACTAACCCCAGTAACTGCAGTCCCGGTCCATGCCCAAGCGAAGGGAAGCAGGAACCAAGGAGCCTTTGAAATCATTAAGAGCCCCAAAGCATATGAAGCTGCTGATGTTAGCACTGATTTCCATGCTTTTGCATCATCAATCTCAAACACCTTGGAATAAAAGAAGGCAAAGAATGATAAGAAAACTTTCTATGGACATGAGCATGACAATGTGCAGTAAAACTCATTCCAAGCACTTCATCCCCGGTCGAAGGTCCAGACTCAATGCCAAATATCATAAAATTTGTCTTATAAATAATATAAAGCTTACCTCTTTTGGGAGGGTATCAATGACCTGCTTCAGTGTAACATCGTCCGGAAGATCTTCTCCTATTTGCCTGAAGCCATAACTTTCGGCCAACTGTTTCCTGTACTCCGCACCATCAGCTGCAGATGATACAGCAGGAACAGCCACAGCTTGTACAGTTCTAGACTTTCTCGAGTGAACTAGAAACTTATTTTGCTTCGTCCCCTGGCGGAGTAGCGGGTCCCATGCAAAGCCATTGAAGCCTGTCTATCAAAATTGAGTTACTATAAGCTTGTAATACTAGCAACGCAGATTTGCTTCGTTTCAGTGAGCTAATAAAGCATGGATATGGTCTATATGGATTAAACTATTCCAAGCATTCACAACTGGTTACGAAACTAAGTAGTACACATGTAATAACCCCGGAAATGATTGTGGAGAGTATTTTAGACATTGACCAGCAAAATTTTAAGAAATCAATGGGAATAAAATTGACCAGAAACTCAGTTTTGGCATTTCCTACTGCAGCTATTTACTACAATTGGCAAATTTAACAGTCCACAGACACCAAATTGCCATAAATTCTCCGTTCTCTACAGCTGACCAACAAAATCACCTTCAGCGAATTATCCTTAATAGAGAATCAGATCCAACTCAGACCAAGATTAGATTCAGCTGAAAGAATGAAACTTTAGAGTGATTTGCAGTTGTAAATCCCACCTTCAGCTGCCAATACAACTACACAAGACATCCCATACAAATAGATGAAAAACCCATAGCATTAGCAGCATTCAGCCAAAAGAAGGAAACTTCAACATTGATTTGTTGAATGGAAGCCAACTGATTGAAGAAACAACCGAGGCAGTAAGGAGAGACAGAGTAACAAACCTGTAGAGCATTGACCTGCAAACTTCTGGGTCTTGATTGGTCTCTGATTGGCTCCCTGGCAATCCGAAAACGAAACCATAATCGAACCTCGGAAAATCAAAACAACAACCACAATTTGCTGCAAGAGGAAGAAATGTGAGACGAAGGGGCAATACCACGAAGAGGAAGACAGAGTCTGGAGCAGCGATCCTGCAAGCCATATTGGATGGCGCGAGCAATTGATCTTGCACCTTCGTGCGCTAAGGGGGTTTTAAGAGGTTTAAAGGGGTGGACTTTATAGTTCTGCGGCGTTCGGCCTTCACCGTCCAACCAACGTTTCTGTGGATAGAAGTAGCACCACATTTCTCAGAGTTCTTACTTCTCACAGCACTTGGGCCTCTCAGGTCAAGCTTACAAATTACAATCGCCTCGACAGATGGCGTTTTCCCCTTGAAATCGGGGCTCTGTACAACGTCAAAACTCGCCAATCGAAGGCACGATTCCTTTGGGAGCAAGTGGAAAAAACCCGGCCATATGGACCCGAATAGGCCCTATAGTATAGAGAACCGGGAACTCGGTAAGTGAGCGCACAAAGTAAAAATCGGTTCTTTCTCCTTCGGTTTCTCCACTTGTCGCCATCCTTTCTTTTCTTCTCCTCCTTCCCAATTGAAATGACGCGGAACCAGACTGAATAGCTCCCGGTCTCTTGCCTGCCCAATCTCTAGAGCTCCGTCTCCGACTTACATTCGTCGGAGATTCAAATTCGTTCCGGCGATCCTATAGTCCTCCAAAATTACTCCAACTCCTCAACGAGAACAGGTTCGGGGCTCTTTTTCATCTCTTGGGTACTCTTGCTTGTTGTGAAAAGATGTTGACTTCGGGAATTTTTCTTGGTTAATTTGACTGGTTGGAGATGTGGGTTCTACTGTGAAGGCGAGACTTTGCTCTTGAATTTGTTCATGGCGATCCTGACGGTGCTTGAGAAAATTAGTAGTATATTGCTGTGTTAGCCTGTAGCAAAGTTTTGAACTGAACCCTAAGCAGAATTTGAGCCATGATTTAGCTGAGACGGTTAATTGCATCATACTGTAGTGGAGTTGTTTAGATTAGCACTATTTCTCATTTCTTAATGTTCAACAGCTGATGGAAGAAGAAGAACTCCATTGCAATAGTTCGTCACAAGCACCTGTTGGGGATCTGAATAATCAGTGCATAAAGCAGGATGGCAAAGGAGAAACCGAGGTGTTGGATGCTCGAACCTCCCTTGAAGAGAAGAAAGAGTTTGTTGCACCAGCAGTAGGAATGGAATTCGAGACCTATGATGATGCATACAACTACTATAACTGCTACGCCAGAGAAGTTGGATTTCGTGTTAGAGTCAAGAACTCCTGGTTCAAGAGGAACAGCAAAGAGAAGTATGGTGCAGTGCTTTGTTGCAGCAGCCAAGGGTTCAAACGAATTAAAGATGTAAACCGCCTGAGGAAGGAAACCCGAACCGGTTGTCCTGCAATGGTAAGGATGAGGCTCGTGGAATCTATGAGGTGGCGTGTGCTGGAAGTTGCCCTTGAACATAATCACTTGCTAGGCAGTAAGCTCCATAAATCGATCAAGAAGATCAATGGTGGTAGCACCAAAAGGAAGGTATCGAGTACGGATGGTGAGGTGCGAAAGATTAAGCTCTACCGGGCACTTGTTATAGATTCTGGAGGTCAAACAAGATTAAGTGCAAGAGAAGTAAAAACATTTCCCGAGCTTCCTAATCAGCTGAACTTGAAAAAGGGTGATGCACAAGCTATCTACAACTACTTTTGTAGAATGCAGTTGACCAATCCGAGTTTCTTCTACTCGATGGATCTGAACGACGAGGGGCATCTGAGGAACGTTTTCTGGATCGATGCTAGGTCGAGGGCTTCGTGCAGTTACTTTGTCGACAGCATATTTGTAGACAACTCGTACTTGTCAGGTAAATATGAGATCCCTCTCGTCACATTTGTGGGAACGAATCACCATGGTCAGTCTGTCTTGCTTGGATGTGGTCTACTTTCTGGCGAGACAACCGAGTCTTACCTTTGGCTATTCAAGACATGGCTCCACTGCATACCGGGAAGAATGTCTCCACAGACCATTATCACCGACAGGTGTAAGTTCTTGGAGAAAGCAATTGCACAGATGTTTCCCAAATCACACCATTGTTTCAGTTTGGTACACATCATGAGACGAATTCCTGAGAAACTAGGAGGCTTAGGAAACTATGATGCAATTAGGAAGGCATTTGGGAAAGCGGTTTATGATTCGATGAAAGTAATTGAGTTTGAAGCAGCATGGGGCTACATGATCCAGCTTGTTGGAGTTTCTGACCACGAATGGCTTCGATCATTGTATGAAGATCGCCTCAAGTGGGTCCCGGTGTATCTCAAGGATGCATACTTTGCTGGTATAGGAGAGAATCTTCATCCGTTCTTCGACAAGTACATCCACAAGCAAACACCATTGAAGGAGTTCCTCGATAAGTATGAGCTGGCATTGCACAAGAAGCACAAGGAGGAAACCCTCGCTGATATCGAGTCGAGAAGCGCTTCGGCACTTGCCCTGAGGAGCAGGTGCTCATTCGAGCTGCAGCTTTCCAAAGTCTACACTAGGGAGCTGTTCAAGAAATTTCAGTTCGAGGTGGAAGAGATGTATTCATGTTTCAACACGATGCAGATTCACGTGGATGGCCCAATTGTGATATTCCTGGTCAAGGAAAGGGTTCTGCTTGGTGAAGGGAACAGGAGAGAAGTGAGGGACTATGAGGTTCTGTACAATAGAAGTGGGTCAGAAGTTCGTTGCATATGCAGCCGCTTTAACTTCTCTGGTTATTTGTGTCGGCATGCTTTGTGTGTACTGAACTTTAATGGCGTGGAGGAAGTTCCTGGAAGGTATGTACTGTCCAGATGGAGGAAGGATTACAAGCGGATGTATGTGCCTTCGGATCATGGCTCGGGTGAAGCTGTCGTTGATGCTACTGACCGTGTGGAGTGGCTCAACCGGTTGCATCGGAGTGCTTTGCGGATCGTGGAAGAAGGGTTGGGTTCGGTCGAGGGTTATGATGCTGCGTTGCAGGCCTTTGAGGAGTCGCTGAATAGGGTTCATGAGGTGGAAGAACGAGTGAATGTGTAGAGAATGTGCAGTTGGTTCATTATCATTCTTTTGTACAAATGGAGGCTTTGTTTCGATTGAATCTTGTGTATAAAAACTAAAAAGGTTGGAAGTGTGACTAACATGATGTATCTTCTGTGACTCTGAAATGCGAACTTCGTTCGAGTTGAACAATCAAGGAATTTTCTTTGCTCAATTGCTTCAAGAATCTTAGTTTGAGCAAACTTCATGCATGTCACCTTCATCGGAAAATAAATCTCGTTATTTCCTCCTAAATTCACCTCCCTTCGTAGATCACAATTCAAATACCTTCCAATTATATATTAACATATTTTTCATGAGAATAATCATTTTTTTTTCTAATACTATGAGTTGGTGACACAAATTTTGACTAAAAAAGTTAGGATTTTGCTACGGTGACATGCATGTCACCGTGACATGGATTTTTCGGTCGACCTAATCCAAAATGCGGTCGACCGAATTGACTAATTCATGTATGTGATGTTCCGAGACGCGGTCGACCTTTTACATAATATGGTCGACCTCTTTGGTGGTCTTACATAATATGGTCGACCTCTTTTTATGTGTGAACAATTATGATTTCTGTTTTATTGTATTTCTTGTTAGTTTGTCTAGTTGTTATGCTATGAATTGATGAGTCTTTGTTATCATTATTTATTACTATTTATGATGGTTTGAAACATAATTTATACGAGCAAAAGAACCACACAAATCGACATACATAAGCAAAAAAAGACACGGGGCATAGTTTGACTTTCTTGCATTCGGTCGACCTCATACTGGATTAGGTCGACCTCGAAACCAACACTTGATCTTCATTTTACCTCAAATGATTGGACACTTTGATAGAACACTTATCTTCCATCTGGTCGACCTCTTTCCTTATCTGGTCGACCATTTTCTTAATGACTGCCATCAAGTGGTCGACCTATATACCTTTTCGGTCGACCATGTTGTTTCTGATCGACCAAAAATAACAACTTAAACTAAGTGCGGTCGACCGGGTGGTCGTTGAGGTCGACCGCAATGCTTTCTCGTGCTGCCCAAATTAGTCAATTCGGTCGACCGCCTTCAGGAATAGGTCGACCGAAAAGTCCATGTCACGGTGACATGCATGTCATAGTAGGCATACCCAAAAAGTTATATACACCAAAGAAAGAGTGATTAAATCTAATTCTAATTTCTAAGCCTAATTATTTGATTTCACTCTCTAATCTCTATCGAATCCTTTCATCCTTTCCCAGTAAAAGCCAAAGGAAAGGCGTCATAGGCAAAAACAGGATTGTGTCTATCCAAATCCGACTGTCCAAATCATTTTCACTCCTCGTACGTCAAACCCACAATAAAAAGACAAAAACTTGGCTCCACCTGGCGGAGGACGACGCCGCCACGTCGGCACAAGCCTGTCGTGGGTGGCGATTTTCAGACCCGCTGTGCCCTGCGAGCCAGCCTTCAAATCAAGGCAGCTGATAGAGGGAAGGAAAGCAATCGCCTTTACGGGAACCTTTGAGATTTTGCCCACCAATCATTCGATCAATTTCCCCAACCAAAAATTTTCGCCCCGTTTCCCACACTGTCTCTTAACCAAATCATTTCATCGGTTAAGACTTGAGAACAAAAGGCAGCAAAGTACAAACCCCCCTTTTCGTTAATCTTCCCACGAAACCCCTTTTCTTCTTGTTGGGTCTATCTCTTGACCCGAAAGCGAAGGTTTTGATTCACCAAACCAACCAACCACTTTGCCGGGATAACAATTTTCAGTTGCCGCCGAGGTTCTGTTGCTGGAAATGAGTTTTTGGGTTTTGGTTATTGAAGAAGAAGAAGAAGAAGAGGAAAAGAAGAGTTTTTGAGGAGGGCTTAGCGACGAGAGAAAGGGAAGATGGCATTGTTTCGCAAACTGTTCTATAAGAAGCCCCCTGACGGGCTGCTTGAGATCTGTGAGCGCGTCTATGGTGCGTTTCCCTTCTCTTCATTTCATTATACTGTTCTTTGTTTCTTCTGCTGGTCTAGTGGCAGGTACTGATAAAAAAGTTGGAACCTTTTCTTGTGAATCCGCTAAATTATTGCCTTTGAGCTGTGGGGTTTCCTCGTTTGGTTGCCACGAAAGTTTGAGATATGAAATTGGGAGTTTGGCTTGTGCATTAACGATATCCTTTACATGAATTTGCTGTCCTTTACATGAATCAAGTAATTAACTGGAACGAGTCATCTAAAA